TAAATATGGAATCTATCTTACTCTGTTTTTGTGTCTTCTTTTTGGCTGTAATTATGGGAGTGTAATTGTAGAATGTAAACTGGTGATTAAATATCCTGGTAACAACACAGAGGACATGACCTCAATGTCCTCAATTGTAGCTGCTGCCACCAGATGGATGAGCTTTCGAGCTAGATTTAATGGTCGCGCTATATTACTGTACTCTTTTCTGTTTTGTTGTATTTACTTTATGAATTTATTTGTCTTACCAGTAACAGAGAGTCTGACAGAGTCACTTAAAGGGGAGCTGAAGTCTCGTCTTGAAACACTTGTCTGATACTGACACTGGTACGATCCTTCGTTATCCAAGTTCACTTTAGGTATAATGAAGGTAGCAGAGTTGGTACTTGATGTTTGAGTCTTTCTGAATGAGCCTGAGGTCTGCTGCAGGATGAATGTTCCACCTAAATGCTGAGTTGAGATCAAACAAGTGATGCTGACGTCCTGACCCCAGGTAACCTCACCAGAAGGATCCATGGAGCTGCTGGGCTTTGGAAGACTTACTGAAAAAACAACACAATATTAGAGCAATAAATGGACTGACTTTGAGGTCAACATTTTTCTGCTTTTATAGTTTGCTAAATTTTCTTTTATTGTGAAGGAATAGTTCACTGTTTTTGGAAATTCATTTTTTTGCAACCCATAGTCGTCAGTTTGTGACGCACTGGGGAAAGCCCTGTAGCATCGTTTTTTGACGGTAAAGGTAGGTATATGATATTTAACAGAAAAGACTGAGTAAGGTGGTGGTTGGGGTGGATGGAGGCCAGAACCTGGACTTTGAACCAGGAGACCGAGGTTGGTGTCCCTCATCAAAACAAAAAGTCAACATTAAATATGTTCTTTATGTAAGTTACGTAAATTGACGTGACGTTAGTTAACTTACGAGTTAACTGACGTATGTAATTATTTTCACCCAAACCATGATCTTTTCCTAATCTTAACCAAGTAGTTTTGTTGCCTAAACCCAACCAAGTACTAAGTTTCCCAACTTTAATAATGCGCTGTTTAAAAATGGCAATGTTTCGAAATGCTAGCATTTTATTTTTAAAGTCTGACCGGACGTTACATATTTATTGTTGCTAACTTTACCGGAAGAGGCATATTTGTTGTTGCTAGGCATTGCTTACTTGACCGTGGAGCCCTAAAGGTCAATTAATGACGCATAAGGGCTACCCAGGTCGTTAAAAGGCGACGCCAAAGGGCCTTGACCAAGCGTCAATATGTGACGAGTCAGGAGTGAGAACATGTTTATTTTTGGTCCCCTCTGGTTGCCTTCAGTAAGTTACTGCTGTTTCCTGGTTTCCAGTCTTTATGCTAAGCTATGCTAACTAGCTGCTGGCTGTGGCTTCATATTTAAAGGACAGCTATGAACATGAAAATCAATGAGTTTATTTCCCAAAATGTTGAACTATTTCTTTAAACAAGTGAATGAAACAGATTCATTTCCTTACCAGTAACAGAGAGTCTGACAGAGTCACTTAAAGGGGAGCTGAAGTCTCGTCTTGAAACACTTGTCTGATACTGACACTGGTACGATCCTTCGTTATCAAAGTTCACTTTAGGTATAATGAAGGTAGCAGAGTTGGTACTTGATGTTTGGGTCTTTCTGAATGAGCCTGAGGTCTGCTGCAGGATGAATGTTCCACCTAAATGCTGAGTTGAGATCAAACAAGTGATGCTGACGTCCTGACTCCAGGTAACCTCACCAGCAGGATCCATGGAGCTGCTGGGCTTTGGAAGACTTACTGAAAAAACAACACAATATTAGAGCAATAAATGGACTGACTTTGAGGTCAACATTTTTCTGCTTTTATAGTTTGCTAAATTTTCTTTTATTGTGAAGGAATAGTTCACTGTTTTTGGAAATTCATTTTTTTGCAACCCATAGTCGTCAGTTTGTGACGCACTGGGGAAAGCCCTGTAGCATCGTTTTTTGACGGTAAAGGCAGGTATATGATATTTAACAGAAAAGACTGAGTAAGGTGGTGGTTGGGGTGGATGGAGGCCAGAACCTGGACTTTGAACCAGGAGACCGAGGTTGGTGTCCCTCATCAAAACAAAAAGTCAACATTAAATATGTTCTTTATGTAAGTTACGTAAATTGACGTGACGTTAGTTAACTTACGAGTTAACTGACGTATGTAATTATTTTCACCCAAACCATGATCTTTTCCTAATCTTAACCAAGTAGTTTTGTTGCCTAAACCCAACCAAGTACTAAGTTTCCCAACTTTAATAATGCGCTGTTTAAAAATGGCAATGTTTCGAAATGCTAGCATTTTACTTTGAAAGTCTGACCGGACGTTGCATATTTATTGTTGCTAACTTTACCGGAAGAGGCATATTTGTTGTTGCTAGGCATTGCTTACTTGACCGTGGAGCCCTAAAGGTCAATTAATGACGCATAAGGGCTACCCAGGTCGTTAAAAGGCGACGCCAAAGGGCCTTGACCAAGCGTCAATATGTGACGAGTCAGGAGTGAGAACATGTTTATTTTTGGTCCCCTCTGGTTGCCTTCAGTAAGTTACTGCTGTTTCCTGGTTTCCATACATATATACATTAAATACAAAGTATAATGTTAGTGTAATACTATATTTATAGGTTACTATTTATTTGGATAATCTGCCTACAGATAGTTTATTATTAGAGATTTAGCTGTTTCACAAATAAAACCATTTTCTGAAATTAGCCTACACCACTGTGGTTAAGGTTTGATTAGTGCTAATGTTTGTGTATTCATTATAATTTCAGATAATAGTACAAGCTACTATACCTTTCCATTAATAGCCTAATATTAATTTCAGTTGGACAAAACAGCAGTTTCTGTGGGTTGTTTTCAGTCACTAAATTATTGTGCAAGAAAAATGCTCAACATGATGGTTAGTCTCTCATTCGTTTATGCAAATTAACTTGCCAGAAATAAAAACTGTGCATACAGAACGACGAGTTAAACATTTCTAAAGTTTGCTGTAGAGCCTAAATCTTTTTTTAATGCCTTGCCTCCTCCAGGCTGTGATTGGTTGGTTAACGAAAAGTTACTTAGACGAGCCACTATACACACGGCTTCCGATCTCCCTGCGGAGATCAGCAGGCGAGAACAGGAACAGGTGAGCGTCACGTAGTGCCCAGAGAAACTGATTTAGAGAGGGCAGAGGAGAGAACCAGTACCAGTATGCCAAAGAGTAAAATGTAAAAGTGACAGTACCGGTGAATACAGACACACTTCAAGCACAAACGGCTTTTATCTTGTGATAAATAACAAGAAGTCATTAACGCAAGCTTCTTAGCGGAGTCAGTCAAACCAACACAGCAGCTGGTTTATAAATCCAGCACCTCCTGCATGTGTAAAATACAGTGGCTGTGGATGAAAGGACAGGTGACTACTGACAGACAAGACGTTGTATTTAAGTTTATGTTATGCTTGCTCATTTTGGTGCTGAGGATTTTCCTTTGGCGCACACTAAAACCTCTTTGGGGGGCGCCAAAAATTTCTCTATGCAGGAAAAACTCTGGGTGTGTACTTGTAAGGCAGTATAATGGGAAACTTGAATGAATGAATTTGTGATGCACACACTATAAAAATAGGACCAATTCATAATCCTTCTTGTTTATCTAGAAGGTTTACAGATTTGAGAATTTACAATATTATTCTATTACTGTAAATATGATATAATTGTAATTATGATAAATATGTACATGACTCTCTTTCCATTCTGGCTTTGTTCCTATTTACAGATTCTGACTGAAGGAGTAGCACTTCAGACCACATGGTCTTTTGTTTTTAGAGAGAGACAATTTTTGTACCTATCAAGCTAAGTTACTGTAAGAGGGATGTGTTATGTTCTATGTGCCTCCATTCTACGTTTTAATAATTACACAACTGTTTCACTTTCACATGCTGGTTTTTAAAATCCCATCTCTCTGTGGGTGGGGGTCATTGTGAATTCTGCATCACAAGTTACATTAGCTTCAAATCCCAGAATACAATAATGAAAATAAAAATGAAAGCATGAATAGAAAGAGTTAAGACACACGACACACCGCACAGAAACACTGTTGCAGGCAGGTGCAAACTGATGCATATTGACACCTGGGTTGGGCGCAGGTCAGACACTGCCTGGCTTTGGTGACCAAGCATCTCTGTTACAGATGGAAATTAAATTAATGTTACAGAGAGAGAGAGAGACAAGGTGAACTGGCATGCTGGCATAGAGAGAGAAGTAACAAGAAACATTAATTTAATGTAATTAGGTTTAATTCAATAGAGCAGATTAAATGCAAACAGTAAAACAGCTCCACATCTGCAACAAGGACTGGAAACAGTTTTGACAGTCGTGGTTCCCAGAGGATAACCTGACAGCCTGACATTCCCTCCAGCATTATCAGCAGGTTGACGTGTGGTTCAGACTGATATGTCTCCACCATGCAATGTGGTGTATTTGTGAACTTCATCAGGTCAGACTTCCTGATTTTTCCTGATAAACCAAGTGACTTCACTTTATCAGACAGTTTGTTTCTCTGTATGATGAGCATTACAGCCTCACAGAGCCTCTATTTATTTATGTTCCCTTTTGTCTCTCTTGTAGTGCATTTCTGCTGATGTGTATGGGTCACTATAATGTGAGGTGTAGGAACGTTTACATCAAAACGTCACTGATTCCTAAATGTCCTGAAGGCAGCAGGACCCAAACAACTTTATTTGTTATACAGTGAATCACAACACTGTGCCCCTTTCTTTTAATCCCACACCCCAAACCAGAGGGGGCAAAAAGTCAGCAAAAGAGAAATAAGCTCTGAAAAATGAACAAAGGGTTTTTTGTAACATACAGTCTCAGACAAGGCAAAGTTTTACTGCCAATTAGGCTACTGTTGTTGTTATTATTAGTAGAAGTAATGGTAGTATTACTGCTTTACTTATGAATAGCTACATATAAGAGACATATTTACAAAATATTGCTCACCTGAACAGACCACGCCAGCATCCTCACCATGTCCACAGTTGTGTTTCCCAAATCCTCCATGCTGACACTGAGTCAGAGACCTTTCACTTCCTGAACAGGCCACCTCATCAAGCCAGATTTGACCAGTTCCTTGACCAAAATGGGCCGACTGAGGGGCACTCAGTGCTGCACCACAGTCCAGCTCCCTGCACACCACCTCAGCATCATTTAAGTCCCAGCTGTCATCACAGACTGTTCCCCAGGTGTTGTTGTGATAGATTTCAACTCTTCCAGAGCACTGAGTAGACCCGGACCCAGTTAGTCTGATTGGAACACCTAGTCTCAGAACACAGAAGACAAATCAGTGAGAGAGAGTTTACAATTATATTGATTTATTTCATTTTTATTTTTGAAACACACACTTTTACTGCTTACCAGGAGACCGAGGTTCGTGTCCCGTGTGAAAGAAAAAGTCAACATTAAATATTTTTATTTAGGCAAATTACGTAAATTGACATAAGTGACGTTAACATATTTATTGTTGCTAAGCGTTGCTAACTTGACCGCGGAGCCCTAAAGGTCAATAAATGACGCGGAAGGGCCTTGACCAAGTGCCAATTTGCAATGAGTTGGGAGTGAGAACGTGTTGATTTTTGGTCCCCTCTGGTTGCCTTCAGTAAGTTACTGCTGTTTCCTGGTTTCCAGTCTTTATGCTAAGCTACGCTGACTAGCTGCTGGCTGTGGATTCATATTTAAAGGACAGCTATGAACATGAAAATAAATGAGTTTATTTCCCAATATGTTGAACTATTACAAGTGAATAAAACAGATTAATTTCCTTACCAGTAACAGAGACTCTGACAGGGTCACTTAAAGGGGAGCTGATATCTTGACTTGAAACATTTTTCTGAAACTGACACTGGTACGATCCTTCGTTATCAAAGTTCACTTTAGGTATAATGAAGGTAGCAGAGTTGGTACTTGATGTTTGGGTCTTTCTGAATGAGCCTGAGGTCTGCTGCAGGAGGAATGTTCCGTCTAAATTAACCTGTATTGAGATGGAACAAGTGATGCTGACGTCCTGACCCCAGGTAACCTCACCAGCAGGATTCATGGAGATGCTGGGCTTTGAGAGGCTCTCTGAAAAAATAACACAACAATAAAAATATTAAATGTATTTGTTTAGATATTTGACTCTGCTTGGATTTTTTCAATAAGCATTTGTAAGGCAGTATAATGGGCAACTTGAATGAATGAATTTGTGATGCACGCACTGTAAAAATAGGACCAATTCATAATCCTTCTTGTGTATCTAATAGAAGGTTCACAGATAGCTCCTGAAGGCAGCAGGAGCCAAACAACTTTATTTGTTATACAGTGAATCACAACACTGTGCCCCTTTCTTTTAATCCCACACCCCAAACCAGAGGGGGCAAAAAGTCAGCTAAAGAGAAATAAGCTCTGAAAAATGAACAAAGGGTTTTTTGTAACATACAGTCTCAGACAAGGCAAAGTTTTACTGCCAATTAGGCTACTGTTGTTGTTAGTATTAGTAGAAGTAATGGTAGTATTACTGCTTTACTTATGAATAGCTGCAAATAAGAGAAATAACAAAAAAATCTTTCTCACCTGAACAGACCACTCCAGCATCCTCACCATGTCCACAGTTGTGTGTCCCAAATCCTGCATGCTGACAGTGAGTCAGAGACCTTTCACCTCCTGAACAGCCCACCTCATCAAGCCAGATTTCACCGGTTCCTTCACCAAAGCGGGCCGACTGAGGGGCACTCAGTGCTGCACCACAGTCCAACTGTCTGCACACCACCTCAGCATCATTTAAGTCCCAGCTGTCATCACAGACTGTTCCCCAGGTGTTGTTGTGATAGATTTCAACTCTTCCGGAGCACCGAGTAGACCCAGACCCAGCTAGTCTGATCGGAACACCTAGTCTCAGAACACAGAAGACAAATCAGTGAGAGAGTTTACTGTTTTATGGATTTCTTTTATTTTACACACACACACACACACACACACACACACACACACACACACACACACACACACACACACACACACACACACACTTTTACTGCTTTATTTACTTTATTTTAAATCTTTTTTTTAATAGTGATTAATCACCTATATATAATGAATTGTTCTATTGTAATTTATTTGTAGTTTTACATTCATGCCAATAAAGCTAGATTGAATTGATTTGAGAGAGAGAGAGAGAAATTTGAAATTTAACAATACATTTATTAGGAGATTTAAAAGGTTACAAAACTACAAAAATAACAATCAGTAAAACACAATTCACAGAATCCAGATTATCTCAGCACACTTCCAAAGAGCAGTTCATCATCTACAACCCAACAAAGAACATTCACACCACATACTGGAAAAACTTTCAATATCTTTACAAACATGAGCACAGCATCATCATCCACAGCTTTCTCTATTCTGTTTTTCCTGCTCATATAAACAGCCATCTTTGCTCTCCCCAAAATAAAATAAAAAATTTGGCATTTAATTTTATTCTTTTGAGAATACCTGTACCCCACAATGAAAATAGGTTTAGAAAAAACCTCCCCAAACAGTCCAAAAATATATTCCAATTGCAAACAGTGGCAGAAGTCAAGAACACTCCATGAAACAATGAAAAACAGTCTCACGGATAGTTGGACAATCGTGGTTAATATCAGAGTTAATGACAGATACAAAAGCATTCACAGTCACAATACCATGTGAAATCCTCCACTGCAGGTCAGTGGTGAACCTGTAACCACGTGACTATAACCCCCGGATCAGGAGCATTATACCAAATTAACAAAATCTGTGGGTCACCCACTGCCCAGTATATGAACGTCGCACACCCACACACTCTCCCTCTTTCTATCCTCCCGGTCACTAAGAGCTTATACCAGTTTGTGTTGTTTTACCTTGCCTTTTTTTTTTGCCAACAGTTGGGCTGCCTTGCATTGGCACCCCCGTGGTGTGCTGTGAGCAGTTTGTGCTCGACGTGTGCAGGTGTACTCACACTCTGCTTTTGTAAGTGGATCTGTGGTGAGCTTATGATGAAGGAGATGGCTGTGGTAATGATTCCCAGATGGCTGAGTCAGGTTGCTCGTCACCCAAATAAGAAGTGCCGCGCTACTGATGCGTTGTTGGTGAAGGCCTATCAGTCTACAGCCATGGCCTCGAGACTGGCGAACACTAATGCTCTGCTGCTAGTGTACTTGGAGGTTGATATGAGACCTGGAGTCCAAAAACTCGGTTGACCTCCTGCCAGAGATGGTTAAGGTTGTGGACACAGTGATCCATGATGCTAGCTCTCAGGTCAGGATTCTTGGTAACTCCTTGGAACAGCTGACTATGGCCGGCAGCATATTTGGCTGAGCCAGTTGGGTTTGGCAGATACAGATCAAGCTGCAGTTCTGGAGGCTACCATAGCTCCCTGTGAGGTGTTTGGTCCTGCAGCAGAGGCTGCATTGGATGAGGCCCAGAAGGTCAGGCTGCGTACACAGTCCATTTGTCAGCCTGGGCCATCGCAGCCTGTGGCTCGGGCACCTTTGGACAGGCGTTGCGGTCTCCAGCGGCCTCGTTTTGTGGAGCAGCATTCCTCCCGCAGTTCAGGGTCTGTGAGGCAGGGGCCTCCCCAGCAACAGGCTCGGGGCCGCCAGCGTTTCCAGTCTCGGGAGCACACTGATTGATTGTGGGGCCTCTGGGCCCCACCGGCGCTCCTGGCGGGGCGCATTCCCTGATGCCAGCTTTTTCCCCTGCCCATTTTCTGGCTTGGCGTCAGTGCACCTCTTGCCACTGGTTGGACAGTACTCTAGAGTTTGAGAGATACTGCCTGCAGTTGAAGGTCCACCTGTTCCGAGGGGTTTTGGAGACAAAGGTAAGAGACAAATCTCGTTCTGCCATTCTGGCCAGCGAGATTTCTGTCTTACTATAGAAGGTGCAATATGACCTCTGTCTCCAAAGGAAATGGGACTGCGCCCGATTCTAGATTTGCAGAGGCTGAACAGGTATCTCAAAGTCCCCTTTCTGATGCTCAAGTTGGGGGCTCTGTTTCAGGCCATAAAGGCAGGTTATTGATTCATAACAGTGGACCTTCGAGATGCCTATTTTCAGATTCCCATCAGTCCACATCACAAGACGTTCCTCAGGTTTGCTTTTCAAGGGAGGGCCTACAAGTACACTGTCCTTCCTTTTGGTCTGTTCCTATCGCCACGAACATTCACAAATGAATGGATGCTGCACTTATTCCCCTGCGGCTCCGAGCCTTTTTGGTGTTCAACTATCTGGACGATTGGCTAGTGTGTGCTCCCTCACACCTTACAGCTGAAGCTGAGAGGCCTCATAATTTGTGCCCTGTGGGGGCCCGTAGGTGCTACGTAGATCGCACCAAGTCTCTTCGCATGTGCAGGTCAGGGTTGATCCCCCTTCAAGGGTTTGTGGCACACTCTACAAGAGGAATGGCCGTTTCATGGGCTCTATTTCGGGGTCCACATTTGGAGGAGGTCTGCACTGCTGCTGACTGGGCTTCCACATCAACCTTCACCAGGTTTTATAGGTCGAACCTGGCTACACTCACTACCTATGAGAGCTTCTTTCCATTTACTAAGCAACAGAGCAATAACACAAGTCGAATTCACCTCTAGGTGGGAGGCAAGAGGAGCTGCATCGTCTAAGTTTGCTCCTGTAAGCTGAATTACATGTCCTAGAGAGACAGAACCTCCTGAAAAGAGTCGGCCCCACCTGACAGACTGCACTGAAACGAGACCCATAAATGCAACCAGTAAAGTGAGCTGTGGTGTCCCAGCCTCTTCTTTATCAGCAAGTTCCACACCTTAAACAGTCCACGATAGAAAACAGGAAGTTTTTTGATGTTAGGCTGCTTTAAGTCCATCAAAGATTTGTTCAGTCCAAGTCCACCTAACTGACCCAGGATAGTGCAAGCCAACGGCCTCCACATCAAATCAGTAGAACCACACAGAAACCTCTGTAGGAACTGGAAACGGAAAGTAGCCCCCCTGCTACTGAGGTGAATCAGGCCCTGTCCTCAATCGTCCGTCGGCAAATATAGCACACTCTGAGGTACCCAGTGCAAAAAAAGTCAACAAAGAGAGCCTGGATCTTTGACAGCAGGTCAGATGGGGGGTCAACACATGACAGGCGATGCCATAAAGTGGACGAAACCAAATTATTAGTGATAAGAACTCTGCCTCTATAGGACGTTTTCATCAAAATCCATTTCCACCTTGTTAAATGACCTTTCACCTTTTCTAGAACATTCTCCCAGTTTTTCAAACCAAAGGACTGATCACCCAGAA